CTGTCAAAGGTGGCTACTTTGATGAGTCAAAAGTTTGGAATATATTTTGGTCTATAAATTGATTCCATGATTTATTTTTCAACTCAAATTGCTTATTTGTTCTATGCTTTCATTTCAGAATGCAATGACACAATAAACTGAATAATTTTCAGTAAAAAATTGGAAAAAGTGTGGTGTTGTAAAACTTTTGACCGGTAGTGTACATACATACATATACACATATATATACAAAAACACATACACACGTACACATACACATTCACTTGTACAGCATTCACTTAACTTAACAGCATTTGTGAAGTTACCAGTGGCGGAAAGTAACTAAGTACTAGGCTACAATCGCAGACTGTATATTAAAGATGAGCACAGCCACCAGGTTTCAAAGTTAAGCCAGCACAAAGTGCCTTATTCTGGCATTATTTAACAGCCAGCAGAGAGCAACTTCTCTGGTTGCAAAAACCAGTCAGATTGCATAAAAATGAAAAAAAAAAACTATTCTACTTTCCCTTTGATCTGTACCTCATTATGGTCCAATTTAGAGAAAAAATAGATATCAGAGCAGGGTACCTTTTAAGGCAGTGAAACCTTATGATTAACAGGTCACGACTGTACTAGTGTTCATCGTGTCCTGGATGTCTTAGTCAAATTCACCCCTCATTCTGGTTACTTAAGTCTGGTCAAAAGACTCAAGGTTTCAAAACAGATGTCCACAAACCGACAGGTGGCATCACGCGGACTACATCCATCTTTAATGAATAGGCTAGTGCTGATACTGGGACCCTTCTTTTTTGGGAGAAGGTGTGATGGCTCCTACTCTGTTCTTGTCAGTTCTCCTGTTTAGTCGTGTTGTAGGTGCCTAGAGGATGGGAAAGCAGTTGAATGGTTGAATGTGCTCTTAGCTTATAAAGGGTTGGCTTCTGCTCACTTTCTCTCCCTCATTCACTCACCAGGTTGGCAGCCATGCATTCTACAGTCTTTTCTTAGGCTTGTTTACAGCTTACACCACTTGCACACTATCTCTTCCAACATGCACACCCGACACAACTGATCTTTATGCCTCATGATTTTTGTATTTATGTTTATTTGGTTTGTCTGATATATTATTTTGTGATTATGCTAATTGACATATCTCCCAGCTTTGTCATGGTCCTGTGAGCCAGGTTGTGACAATACTGTGATGCTTGAGTGTAAGCAGCATGTTACTGTACTTGTATTATGTTACTGTTGTAGATTGAGCTAGTTTAAAGTACTTTAAATACAGTCTTACTGGGACACCAGATAAACCTGAGGGGGGGAAAAAAAAAAAAGAAAATGAAATTTTTTTTGTTAAACAAATTTGTTTTCAGTTTTTGGACTTTTTCTGCAACCTTCAATTTTTTTAAGAGATATTAGATCATTTGAACCTTTTTTAAAATTAGACCATGTGAGAAGTATAAATAGGAAAAATGAATACTTGATGCAGCTTTAAGGACTTATAAACATCTAGAATTTGATACATACTGCTAAATGGTCATTTAGCATGACCAACTTTGGGTTCAGTGTCTTGCCCAAGCACACTGTAACGTGTGGAGGGCCTGGGATTAAAACGCCAACCTTGTGATTAGTGGACAACCTGCTCAACCACCTGAGCCACAACTGCCTACACTGCCCTTTGTAAGACGTCAGTCAAAAGCTAAAAAGACCCCCAAAGCATAGGCAGGGGACAGTCTTTCACAGGGATAGACAAAGAGACAAATAAGCACACTCACATTCAAGACAGGAAAGGAAAAAAAAAAAAACAGGACTAAAACAGTTCAATGACATCTGCCTTAAGAAGACACAACAACTCATGATGATTGCTTACATTTGCTGTCACCAGTTTTAAAATGCTTCAAGCTCAGAATTTGTAATGTCAACGTGGAGTGTAGATTAATTGGTGATTGTGATGTCTGTAACGAACTAATGACCTGTGCAGGGTGTCTGCCCGCCCCTGCCTTGCTCACTAAGTCAGCTGTTCTGTTTTTCTTCATGATCCTCTACAGCAGGGGTGTCAAATTCATTTTCACCCGGGGCCACATAAGCATTATGTTTGCCCTCAAAGGGTCAGTTGTAATTCTAAGACTGTATAAATAAATAAATGTAACAACTCCTTAACATATGGTTAAATAATTGTCTCTGCATTTGATTGTTATTTATTCTATGTACAACTGTTCCGCATGCCTTTACCTAAAAGTGAAATACATGTAGCAGGGCTTCAGACTAAACTTTTCCAATGGTAGCACTGGTGCTACCAACTTTCTTTGTTGGTCACACCAGCTGATGATTTGGTCTTGGATGCTACATTTTACCGATGTTCCCTAAACGTCTCACATGCTGCTCCGGTAGATGTACCAGGTGTCTGCAGTGCAGCTCCTCTGACAGGTGAACAACTAAACATTTGTTGGAAAACAGTGGAAAGCACGTTCTACACAGATTTGCCCACAATGAAAGGATTTCTATAAGCAGTTTGTTTTTTTGTTTTTTTTTAATGAACGGACTTTTCTACGAGCTGAGCGCATTTTAATGTTTATACCACTGGTCATCATGTTTATATAGTCAAAACTGTGATTGCTGTTAAAATGTGAATCTTCCAGATTGAATGTGGGGATGCTTTTTGTTCCTGACTCAGTCGAGATCTGTCTGTCTGTACCCAAACACTTTTATCATCAGGTGCGTCGGACCTCTCCCTTTCTCACCTCGCTTTTTTGCTTGTTTTTTTTTTGTTTTGTTTTTTAAACACGGTAGGCTATGTATCGTTTTGTCATTGGAACACAGTGTTCTGTTTTACATGTCAGGCAGAGAGAGACTGAGTCAATGTGGAAGAAATATGACCTTTTCCAACCACAACAACTGGAGCAGCAGCTACCTGTGCTGATGGAAGGAACCAGATCAGCCTGATGATCATCATTCACTCACACAATGTGACCACGTGAAACTTTAGCTCACACATGCTCATAAATGATCACATATGAGAACATTTTAGTCTCAGTCTGGAGCCCTGTGTAGGCACATTGCTGTTATTATAGCATAAATTATAAGATTATATTACATTATCTTAAATCAGGTAAATCCCATTAATTTATCAGATTAGGAAACACCCATCTCTCGCGGGCCACATAAAATGACATGACAGGCCGGATTTGGCCCACGGGCCTTGAGTTTGACATATGTGCTCTACAGAATAAAGAGGTTTACTGTAAATGGATGGATGAATCTTTGTTTCCTCTCTTTTAATTCTTAACATATTTAACATTTTTGGGGTATTTTACTCACTAGTATCATCAGGAAAGCATTTTTCCACCATGGCCATGTACTGCTCCTCTGTGGTCAGAACAGTGCCCCCCGTAGGCAGCAGCTTGTGGCGTGGAGGAATCCCTTTAACAAAAGTCTGCCAAACAAGGTAGAAGAGGAGGAAGGAGGAGGAAGACAATGACACAAGACAGGATTGATCATTGAGCTTGTCATGTTGTCACCATATGATTTACTGAAGTCAGTTCCACTGTCATGCTCACCTCCAAGCTGTCATGACACTCCAGGCAGTAGTTGGCTCTCACCACTACATACCTGTCCCTCCACTTCCTGGTGTCGTCAAAGAAAAGAACGCCCTCCTCATACAGCACCTCGCCTTCCTCTGGAGCCTCCTGTCAACACAAAAATCAGAATGATAAACAAGGGGGTTAAAGAGACACTGCATGATTCAAAGAAGCTAAAAACCTGACTTTGAAGAAAATCTGGAGAAGTTGCTTTAAGATCAAGCAGTGACGCCAGAAGGAAATTTTAATCACAAACTTAATTGGCATGTACTGCACTGATGCAGAAGTTGACCCTGTGAGATTCTTTGACGAGACATAATCGATTTATAGAGGTAAAAATTATGAGACTGGCTAAACAGCATGAGCTTCAGGTTCTATTCAGCTTAAGTGAAGGGACATTTCTAATCTACTCTGTTATTGTTTACCTCTTAAAACTTTTTTAACCATGGCTCGTTTTTAAGAGATAATTCCTTTAAAACAAGCATATCGTATTAGATTTTTTTTTTTTTTACAACCAACAAATCTGGACTTTCAGTTAGGTTTAAATTATTAATAATAATAAAAAAAAATATTCTATTCTATTCTAATCTATTCTATTCTGTTAATGTGTACCTATAAATGTATTTATTATATTTGAACTCGTGGTGAACTCATGCTTTTTACTTCCAGGTCTTTTCATAACAAAAAAAGGCCTGCACCAGTCTGTGCAGACAACTGCACACAAAAAAACACATGGGGCAATGTGCCAAGCACAGTGGCTGGACACAGCGTAGAATTTCTGGAGAACTTAGAAGGTCCTAAGTGTGCTCCTTGTATGAAAAGCATGTACAAATCAAAGTCCCATTTGTTTTCCATGCACATGCACAATCTGCGTGCTTGTAGTGTGGACGCTCCCAGATTTGAGTGGATAACAAATTTTGCGTCATGCATAACCTTATGTACATAGAAAGCATGAATTAGCCTTTATGCAGCATCTTCATTTACAGGTGAGTCCTGTCCTGTGTGGATAGATGGGACAAAAGGAGCGATAATGACCCTTGTATCCGTTTTTTTTTGTTGTTGTTGTTATTTCTTATTCATTTCTTTCATTTGCTCTTGTTTTCTGTCAGTGGAAGCTTAGAGAAAGTACTTTTTGGATGACAAACATGTTTAAATTGCCGCTTTCTTTAAAACATGACACTTAAAGAATCTCTGTTTACCTCTGACACAGCTGGCTAACATTACAGATGCCTGCAAAAATGTTGCTTGATACAGTTATTTTGCCAAGTTACAACCACACTTTAGACTCACCAAACCAAATTTAAAAAACAAAAATTGCATACCCTCTGTTTGAGCAGTTGTGTGATCTTCTGTTTGTGTTGTTCCAGGTCATCTTCTACCTGAGAGAACCAAGCAACGGAGAATTGCTTCGTGTAGTATGGACTGAACTCTTTCAACTCAGCCTCAGCCTGGCCTGCACCAACACAGAAGAGGAAGAGAATTATTATTATATCACTTATTAAACTAAAAGCACCAATGTCTTGAGAATGGGAGGTAAATACTGAACACTGAAGTTTTCCCTGGAGGCCTGGTGGTCAAATTAAAGACCAACAATAAGCAGAAGGCTCAAAAACAAACCATCAGGTGCAGACGAGGAGGAAAGCAGCATTTACAGGTCCCATTTGATGAAAATCCATTTTTATTGTGTTTTGTGTGTTCTATGAATTTGGAGGTATATGATAAATACTGTGAAAATATGAAAACACTTACTTATGCCATGTTCCTAGCTCCATCACAACCAAATAGCCTCCCAGCATTACAAGGGAGTAAAAAATGTGTCCAGTCACTACAGAGAGACAGCAACAAATCATTGTTGAGCGAAAGCGTTGCCCTCTCACAGCCCTCTTCTTCTGAGGTGAGCCATTCTCAATGAGAAGCTGCCTCGCAGTCAGCCACATTTATTTAGTCACTAGAGCCACTTCTGCTAACTCTCAGGATCTTAGCCACAAGCAAATCCACTTAGGAACCACTTGTTTAAGTGATTTATAAAATAGGAATGGTAAACCTTCTTTGGTTCAAGCTTCCCCAATGTGGGGATGCTTCTTTTCCCTGTAACTGTTGAGTTGAGTCGGCTAGAAAACAAAAAAAATATTTTGGGTGCCATCTTAGGTCTTGAATTTGGAAGTTCCAAGTTGTATGTGGAAACTACCAACCCTGTCCTCAAAAAACCAAAGACTACTGGACTACATGACTACAGACTCACTGCATTGACCTCCTGGTGATGAAGACATTTAAGCACCTTGTGTTATCCCACCTCAAATCCATTACAGACCCACTCTTGGACCCAATGTAGTTCATGCTGTCAACATAGCTCTACACTTCATCCTTCAGCATGTGAACTCTGCAGGAACCTACATTAGGATCCTTTTGTGGATTTCAGCACTGCTCTTATTACAATTGTCCCTAAAACAAATGATTAGCTAAAGGTTTCCTGCAAATAGCTAGAGTAATGAATTAACTGGTTAGCTCAAAGTCAGTGACTGAATATAGCTGAATTTGGGGCGCCGCTATAGCTCACCTGGTTGAGCTGGTGTCCCATATACAGGGGCTATAGTCCCTGACGCAGAGGTCATGAGTTCAAATCCTGCTCATCTCTCTGTCTCTCTCTCACTGCACTTTCAAATAAACGCAAAAAGGCGTAAAAAAAAAAAAAAAAATTATTTAAATAAATGTAGCTAAATTTAATAAATAAAGCTAAAAGCAACTAAGAAATGTTTTAGACAGTTAATGCTAGTAAAATTAATAAACAATTTCAGCAGTTTATGTCGGATAGCAAGGCTGTCGGCTTGTGAAGACAGAGGTCTACATAAGGAGGGCTTGATGTTTTAAGGGCAATTTGTTGTTAATTATTGTTCATAGTTGTTATAATAACTAGTAGGACTGATCTGAAAAGCACTTTCTGGTCTTTGGATATTCAGGCCCAATTAATGATGAATATCTGAATATATTCCGCGCGGTCGGGGGGACACTTCCACCCCGGTGGGGGCGCTCCAATGGGGTGGAAGTGGCTGGAACGCAAATGGTTGTAAAGACGATAAGGGGATGCACTTCTGAAGATTTCTGCATTCACAATAATCTTAACACAGAGAAGAAAATATGAGCTTGCTGTTACACTTGTATTATTCTTGTCTTCCTCTGCTCTGGGACATGACATGAAGTCTTCTTCCATCCCAGGTAACATCACACAGTGCCTGAGGTGACAGCTGCATCCTTTAGACTGAATGTAATCTCTATCCAGACTCCAAATATCCAGTCAGATTCTGTCCAAGTACCCAAAACCACTAAGCCATCAACTTGATCTCTTTCACTTTCTGCTCTCCTGAGGCCCTCTTGTGGTTTGTCAGCTTCTGGCTTCTGGCAGTGCACTTACATGTGCTCTGAGATGGGGGAGGGGTGGAGGTGAGGGTGAGGAATGCATTAAATGAGTACTTACGCAGCCTTAATAGCTCAATATCCACAAACTATTAAAGGTAATTCTCAGTGACACATCCTCCACTTGATGGATAAACATGCCTAAGCATGCCACCGTGGTTTATTGTCTTCCTCACAGTACCGTCAGTGTTAATGTCAGAATGGATCGCTCTGTCATTATGGTTCCGGATAGCAGCAGGCCTTGGAACAGGATGATTTTTATGCTAAATTTTTTTCACTAGAATAAACAAAATCCTTCATTTTTACCTTAAAATTCTATTAATTTAGCTGTGAAAATGCAATCAGAACATTTTAAAGTTAGATTTTAAGGGGATGGGCTGCAAGGTGGCGCAGTTGGTTAGCACTGTTGCCTTGCAGCTAGTCCAAAAACATGTTGAGGTTAATTGGTGATTCTAAATTGTCCGTAGGTGTGAATGTGAGTGTGCTTGGTTGTCTGTCTCTGAGTGTATCCCTGTGATAGACTGGCGACCTGTCCAGGGTGTCCCCTGCCTTCACCCTAAATCAGCTGGGATAGGCTCCAACCCCCCCCCCCCCCCCCCCCCCCCCCCCCCCCCCCCCCCGCGACCCTCGTGAGGATTAAGTGGTGTATAGATAATGGATGGATTATAGAAATGACTGAAAATGACACAGACCTTGAACGCAAAGCAAAATCCTCAATCAGTCAAGAATGAACATGTCAAATATTCAAACTGCGTTTTTAACATTAGGATGTTTTAAAGTGTTAGCTTGTGCCCTTTTTTCAAATGGTGCCATCAAATATTTAGACATATATTCTGAGGTAAATTGAGGAATTAAAGAAGGTATAAGTAACAATGTGGCTGTTCTGCATCAGAAGCTGCAGTTTGAATCTGCTAAATGGGGTATCTCAGGGGACTAACTTGTTTTTTCCTCAGTCCTAAACAATGCAGCGTGTAAAGGCTAGTCCTGTCTCTTGTTACCCCGCTGACCTTGACACGGCCTTCTCCTTGCTGATCAGCAAATCAGATTGGATATCCTGCTTCCAGTTGCGGGAAGTTAGTTTCCACATTCTGACCAATAAAAGATGCTCGTCATGATACTGGTGAATAGTGCTGAGCAGCCATTGATGCATCCACAACAATAACTGGACAGACATCAAATTTTGTGTGGATTTTTGAGGAGAGAATTTAAAAGGGTTCATCCATCTCCACTGGATTTGGCAATTTGATTCGATTAAAAAGTGTTTTGCAACACTAAAGCACAATTTCAACTAGAATGGGCCGGTGTTATATACATTATACTGGCCTCATTTGAAGGATATGTCCATCAAAATACCAAAGAAATGAAACCAATTACCACTGCAGGAACTTTTCTCTAAAACCTTTTGAACCTTGTAATTGTATTTGAGAAACCAGAGCCTATAAAGTTTAAGAGGGATCATTTTACCCTCCAAAACGTTCCTGCTCAGGGGGCAGAACTTCCAAAAGTAAACAAACTGAACTGTTGTGCTTGCTTTGCTGAAAATTGGTGATTAGTTGATTACTCTCCCATTTTGTCCCAGCAGTTTTTCATAAGAAGCAACTGCAAATATTTTTGATTTGGTTTTTATATATTATGCTTTAATACAAAGTAAGCTACAGAAAAGGTCTAATGGTGGGTGCCCCTATAGCTCACCTAGTTGTGGGTTCAACTCCCGCTCACAACCTTTTGCTGCAGGTCCTTTCCTGTCTATCTCTACTGCTCTAAAAAAAAAAATTTTTTTAAAGGCAAAAGCCCCAAAAACATATATTTTTAAAAAAGAAAGAAAAGAAAAGGTCTAATGGTAGATGGATTGATGTCACAGCCTGATGGAATTTGAAAGGATGATCTTCCACCAAAAGGTCTACCTTTAATTTCAGTCAAGGTTGTCATTCATTTCTAGTGCTGTGCACTCAAAAGTTACAGTAAAACAACCATCACGTTTTGATATGTCAGGCTACTGTCTAATGTTTGTGGAGCTTTAGACTGCAACAGAAACACATTACAAAGAGCTTAAGGTACTTTGTCCATAACACTGGCAAAAGTCGATGTGCCAGAGAAACTAGTAAGGTAACTAAACCTTTCTTTCGTATTTCCATGCATTCTTATTAACAAAATATCTCAAATAAAAAGCCATGTAGAGGAAGGCTAGGCAAATGTTTTCATGTTCCCTTCTCTGAGGCATGTGTTGCCTTCTAAAACGATCCCACACATCGGATTTCCTGCACAACATGTGTAATTACTACCTAACACCTGCAGGCCCCTGGGATAACAATAATGTCTATCCGTGACTGACTGGGTGACTTCCTGTGGAGTTGACTTTTGTTTTTTGCTGTGACCAATGTATCAATCAAAACTTGGTCAACTATGACTCATCTGCTAACATTTTGTCAAAAATTAGGGGCAGCCATAAATGTAACCTCCGCAAATGCCCAGAAACAATTCCTTCATTTGAAAGTTAACCGGTCTGCATCTCCAAAGACTTTCCAGTACAACACCTTGTCCTCCACGGATGCTGAAACAAAGATTGCTTATGTAACTGACTGAGCAGTGATACAAACTATAGCTTGCTGTTCTACACAACAGCATCCAGTCAGGTTAGAGGTTAACCTTCTTCCAATAAAGGAGAAGCTGTGAGTCACTTAGGACAGGACAAAAAAAAAATCACAGGAAGGTTTCATCTGGGCAAGTTTCCCTCCACTGCACCTGCAGATACAAACTTTGACAGGAAGGTATTTTATTTGTCCGCTTTTAGTCTTTAACAGACACAGCAGTTTTAACTGCCGGCTGGTGAACAGACACAAGTTCTCTGTTAAAACTCAGGGTGGAGGAGGAACACCTTCTTAAGTTCATCTCGGCTCAGGTTGCTTGAAGATGATTTGAATGGCTGTGACGTCAGTCCTCATCTACACGCTCTGCTGCTGTTTATGCAAAAGATCTGCAGCCACTGCTTAATATATTCTCTTTTTGTTTAAATGGTTATGCAAACCCAGAAAAGTGCTTTTG